TAAATAAATAAATAAATAAATAAATAAATAAATAAATAAATAAAAACAGGGTCTATGTTGCCCAGGTAGGCCTTCAAATCAAGAGCCTCCTGCTTCAGCCTTCCATGTGCTGGGATTACAGGTATGCACCACCACACCTAGCCAGATAATTCCTGTATTTTTTAAAACTGTTACTCTGGAGGATGAATTCCCAGAAGGCTGACTTGATTTTAAGTACAGCATTGTTAGCCCTGGCTTGGCCAGGTACTGGAAACAGTTGGCAGTATCTCTTCAATTTTTTCCACACAGACTGGAATTCAGTTTGTAGACACTTTTCTACCTCATCTACAAGTTTCTTTATACTTTCTTTACTTTGTCTCCAGCTTGGACTCAGTTATAGTCTGCACTTATCCAAGCTCCATTTGTGATCCCTTCCTTTTCTTGTCTGAGAAGCCCCCTCACCCAGTAGCATCCGCTGGAGTTCCTTCCGCTCCTGCTCCTCCCGTTCCCGGGAGAGCTGAGAGCTTGTTTTCTTGTTCTGCAGCATGTTCTCGATGTTCTTTCCCATTTCTTCAAAGTCACTGTCCTCAGCAGAGCTGCTGTCAGTGTCAGTTGATAAGACTTCAGTTGATGACAAAACCCTAGCAAGAAAGGAAAAAAGTTAAAGACCAGTGGAAATACAAGTGTAGAAAGAAGTAGGGTGGGAACAATTAAAAATTGAGAAATCAACTTAAAAAGATATACTAAGAATCCACAAAGTTGGGCTTGAGAGATGGCTCAGAGGATAAGAGCACTGACTACTCTTCCAGAGGTCCTAAGTCTTCTGGTGTGCAGATATACATGGAAGAAGGATGTTGTATACATAATAAATAAATAAAATCTTTAAAAAAATCCACAAAGTTATGAAATCCATAACAGAAAAACTACATCTTCCTAGACATTGCACAAATTTGCAAAATTGCAGTAATTGTTTCAGAATCCCTGAAAAAAAAAGGTAAGAAAACAGCACACCGGCCATTTTTTAAAAATTTTCTTGAAAGAGACTCTTACTGTTTGCTTCCCATACGCCGCCCCCCTCCCCGCCCGGCACCGTATGCCTTGAACTGTTTATCCTTCTTGCCTTAGCCTCCCAAGTGCTGCTCAGCTCTCCAGTACACCACATTTAGATTCATTGATCACTTTAATAGCACATTACTATTCTTTCATAACTAAGTCATTACAGGGAAAAATATAACCATTACCATACTTAAAACTACCAGGCCCAGGCTAAGTAGGCCACAAGAACTGTCACAGGACCAAGAGATCAAGCTTAACATTTCATGACATTGAAAGCTTTTGGCAAATTACTTTGAAAATAGGTTTAGCAGGTGTGGTGGCACATGGTAATAATCCCAGCACTCAAGAGGCAAAGGCTAGAGGAGTGCCAAAGGCTTGAAACCAATATGGGTTAGGCAAGACCCGTCTCAAAAAAAAAAGGCTTTAAAAGTTGTTCATAGTGGTACATGCCTTTAATCCCAGCATCCGGGAGGCAAAAAAGCAGGTTCAGGGCCAACTGGGTCTCCATAGTGAGTTCCAGGCCAGCCAAAGTTACATAGTTTAACCTTGTCTTTAAAAATAAGAACAGAGCCGGGCGTTGGTGGCAAATGCCTTTAATCCCAGCACTCAGGAGACAGAGGCAGGTGGATCTCTGTGAGTTCTAGATCAGCCTGGTCTACAAGAGCCTCCAAAGCCACAGAGAAACCCTGTCTCCAAAAACCTAAATAAATAAATAAAATTTAAAAAATTAACAAAAACAAGAAAAGGGCCAGGCAGTGGTGGCATATACCTTTAATCCCAGCACTCAGGAGGCAGAGGCAGGTGGATCTCTGTGAGTTTGAGGCAGTCTGGTCTACAGAGTGAGTTCCTGGACAACCAAGGCTATACAGAGAAACCCTGTCTCGAACTCTTCCACCCCCGTTCCAAAAAAAAAAAACCAGGAACAGGTACTCTGGAAGTATTATACCAGATGGTGCCCTGTATTTCAGATACCCAACTACCAAGTTACATTTTTTTCAGGTCTTCTTCATTATACAACAATATCTGGTAGGGCATGGTGGAGGATTCCTGTGGCCCAGAATTTAGGAGATACAGGAAGATCATTAAAAGTTCAAGGCCAACCTATCCTACACAGCAAGTCCCAGATCAGCAGGGCTACATAATAAGACTTCGTTCCAAAATAGAAAAATAGTATCTGGGATCTGGAGACACAGTTTAGTGATTAAAGCACATGTCTTGCATGCACAAAGCCATTAGTTCAAAAAAAAAATAGGTCCAGGAAACCTTCCCTTTCCAACTTAAACTTTCTACAGTACTGAATTAACATACTTGTTCTGTAGGTCAAAGATACGCTGACATTCCTCTTTGTAACGCTCTTGATGCTCAGCCACAGAAAATCTTGACCCACGGGCAAATTTACTCATGGGCCCCTCTCCAGAGCGAGCCTGTTCTGTTGACATTGTGCGTACCACATCAATAACTTCCCAGCGGGACAACTTTTTAATCTATGAAAGAAACACAGAACTACATATATGTAACTCGGTTAGGAATCTAAAAGGACAAAGCAGGGTCATTAATAGAAACAGACAAACCCGGTGGTGGTAGCATACACCTTTAATTCCAGCACTCAGGAAGCAGAGGCAGGCAAATCTCTGAGCTCGAGGCCAGCCTGGTCTACAAAGCAAATTCCAGGACAAGCTACACAGAGAAACCCTGTCTCAAAAAAGAAAAAAAAGAAAGAAAAGAAAAAAGGAAATAGACAAGAAGCCGGGTGTTGGTGGCACAGGCCTTTAATCTCTGCACTCGGGAGGCAGAGGCAGGTGGATCTCTGTGACTTCAAGGCCAGCCTGGTCTACAGAGTGAGTTTCAAGACAGGTTCCAAATCAATACAGAGAAACCCTGTCTCAAAACACAAAACAAAACAAAACAAACCAGCCTGGTCTACAGAGCAAGTTCCAGGACAGGTTCTCCAAAGCAA